GGACCCTCAATAACTTCGGTCTATGCAAAAAGTGAATTACGACTTCATTTCAGTTATCTAAAACAATCTAGTTTTAACTCAAAGCAATCCGAAACTTTAAAATTGAACGAATCCAATGCCTGTTGGATGTAATGCAATGTTACATTTTTCATTATTTTTTCAATTTATAATCGATTTTGAATTTAAATAGTGCAATAACATGTGAAAAATAGTAATATTTTTTTTAGTGTCACGTTAGAAGAAAATACACCATACTTGCGAACAATTAAGAAGTTCTCAAGCTTGTCGCTGAAAGGAAGCCACAGCAGCGGATGTGTGCGGTCTAATATCCGCCCTAGCACGGATATCGGAGATTGACATATTTGCTAGTGTTTTTATTGTCTATGGCTTTTTATATACTGTCTGTAGTTTACGCGAGTAGAAAACATTTAAATAAACCAATTTAACCGTTTAAAACGCGCTATATATTACTTAAACTTATTTGGAAATAATTTTACCTACGGTCAGATGGTTCAGCTGCAATTAATAAATATCGCGTTTTAAACCGTGAAGGTGAAATTTATCCCAATTTAACTACAACTAGGAAACGCTACGGTAGCATAAAATGTGAGAGATCTTAGGTTCAAAACCCAGGAAACTTTTTGAACTCTCACTGCCGAGCACAGGTCTACAGGTCGTACAGGTCTGTGATAAGGGAGAGAGAGTTTAAGTGAGTTGTAGACGCTACGCTGTTTTACCCCGGGTTTGCTCTTAGAACGACTACCTACACTAAATTAGTGATGACTGCCGAAACCCATTGCTTGAAGAGCTCCTAAATTGCTGTTATTATAAAATACAAAATACTGAATATTATAAAACACGTTTAACGGTTTAAAACGTGAAATATATTAGTTTACTTATTTACATGTGAACTGCTCTCGTAAACTACACACAATAAATAAAATATCATTTTTAAAGGCGAAAAAAATTACGACCCGGTCGGGAAATTACGATTGCGTACGATAAGTAAGTAGCAATGATTTTTAATACGTACGCCTTGCTTATATTAATTTTTTGTTATAAATTCAATAAAGTGATACATAATAGTTACCAAAATACACAAGAGTTTTAATTATAATATGTGACTATATAAATATTATGAAGTGCTTATAACCATTCATAGTTACCGAACACAAATACGAAACAAATAAGCGAACTCATTAATAAAACGAAACCGAATAAACAGTATCATGTTAATATTTATCGCACACAGGCCGCCATATTTATTAGCGAACCACTTCCGCTTCCGTTGAGGGTGATTTAAAAGCGTTTTTCCGGTTTCGTTCACGTTTCCGCCGTGCTTATTGCATTAATTTATTACATTCTAGTTACACGAAAATGTATTCGTACGATTTCGATACTTGCGGAACAATTTTGTCATAAATTTGGCGAAATGGGATTCAAATGTATGTACTTATGTTTTAACGCTTATAAAATATAAGAAAAGGCGAATTCGGGCACATGGAAATGCCTGTTATGTCTGTATGTATGTACACGATGATCTCCAAAACTACAGAATGGTTATTCGAGCGTACTTGGCGCAAATAAAGGTTTTATGATTGCTAAGTTGAAATCACAGTTCTTTATATAGTTCTTCTAGTTTCGTATCCGTCGAACTAGATTCAATTGTATTTATTATAGAATAAAAATGCGTTCAGAATTTTTTTCTTTTATCTTTGTATCCAACATTTGGCTATATATTAGGTTAGAATATATGTTGTACGGACAAACGCCCGTACAAATTTATTGTATTTTTGTTATAATATTATTTGTAAGCACAGCTAGCATAATTCTAAATCTATGTCAACGTCGTGCTCACTTCAATGTTTATATTAAAAGCAAATTTACAAGGTAAGCTTAGTGAGCGTCCTATTTTCCACTTTCTTGTAAATTATCTTAAAACAATTATAATAGGAAATAAATCAGTTGCACTACAGCACTCATTGGGTTTGGTTACTTCGCCTCCCTCTTAAACTTACCTTTATTTTAATCATTTCTCTTCATCATTTATCTTTTAACTATCTATCTACATTCACGTATACTTTTCCGATCACGCAACAGTCTCTGGTACCCGAAACTCGGGTATATACGCTAAGCTGTTCTACACTACAATGTAATAACTGTTACTGTATTAGAAAAGAGTACCGAAAAGGCGAAACATTAAGTATTGTTAAATAAAATACTTTAACGGTTTAAAACGCGATATATTAGTTAAACTTATTTGAAAATTATTTTTAACTTCGGCCCGACGTTTCGGATGCTTTGCACCAGCCGTGGTCACGGGGAGACCCGAAACGTCGGGCCGAAGTTAAAAATCATTTTCAAATAAGTTTAACTAATATATCGCGTTTTAAACCATTAGAAGTGTTTTATTTAGCTGTGTACTACTCGCGTAAACTATAGACAGTATCTAATTAAGTATCGTTAGTTTTTCGCTTCCCCGATATTCGAATCTTGCACTTCTGTAGGTACAACGTATTACGACATTAACTCAAATAAACCAGCTTGATTGTTGGTTTAAATAGATTAATTCGGAAATGGAGCACGAAAAAGTTTTTGAATTAGCTAAACGCGCGGCGGAAGTAGCGTTAAATTGTTTCATGTTTCTCGTCAAGGCACACAAAGTTTCCTTCGTATCACACAAAGTATTGAGGTATGTAATATCTAGGGCTGAGAAAAATGTCGTCTTATTCGACAAGAATATACTTTTCTCAGAACGGCTTGAAAAATTGAGCATTATTTTGACAAGACTCTTTGAGACAAATCGAACTTGTTGTCCAAAACAAATCGTACTGGTCGAGCAGCCGGCAATAGTTGTAAGAAATTCCATATCTGACGTGTTTAGCGGACAAACAGGATTATTATGTAAGGCCATATTTGTCGAGTCAATTGAAAATGGAACGATCTTCTATTCCGCATTAGTTTTATTTTCCGCGCTTTACTTAAGAAAAGTACTGTACACGCCTAGGCTGCGACTTAAGCATTATTGAACTTACGTTTGTGTGCATCGACCCACATTCATACCAATAATGCCTCTCGTGCCGGCGGCGTGCAGTAAGAAATGTTATAATATGTAAAAAAAATGCTAATCTAGTTCGTAAATAAAATCGTTCAGTAAAATGTGAACTAAACTGTAATATCCCGATGTCCCAGTAAGGGTAAACGGGATTGGTATAATAATAATAAATTTATTTTGCATTCAATTAGCAATAAATATGATTATACTACTTAAATACTGTCTATAGTTTACGTGTGTAGTACACATTTAAATAAAACGGGTCCCGTGACCACGGCTGCTGCAAAGCATCCCAAACGTCGGGCCAAAGTTATAAATCATTTTCAAATACGTTTAACTAATATATCGCGTTTTAAACCGTTTAAGTGTTTTATTTAAATGATTGATACTTATACAATAATTAATATAAAAATATTAATTTTGAAAAAAATAAGGTAAAAAGAGTCTTGCGTCACCTTAAGTTGCAGTTACGCTACTAAACTGAAATTCAGCAAAACAGCATTATTTAGAATATGGTCAAATTGTATAAAGCAACCAGAAATATATTCCGGCATTAAGATATTTGTTGCAAGAATTACTCTGTATTCAAGTTCGTTTATTTAAAAAAGTAATTAATTTGTTAAAAAATAACTGACTGTTACAAGACATCTAAAATTCTGACACTAGCTTAATATTTGTCAGTAGTCTAAAATTTATTGAAATAACGTGCTGTTGCAGCCCTATTTAAATATAGGGGGAACTTTTGCTCGCATCTGTTGTATCCATTTAGCTTTTAAACATAACCACCTTCTGTTCGTTACATCGAAGTTCGCGGGATGCTGTCACATCGTTACTATATTTTTAAAGGTATAAATGTTGAATTAAATACATTACGAGAAATTTATTAGTCTTTATTACTTGCTTAATTTTACTCTTACAGTAAAATGGATGCTTACCTTCAACATTTAGACTATACAATACGGTTTTAATTATTTACTAACTGTGTCAGCGTACTTCATCGGAAATCAAAGTCTCCTCTTGGCCAAGGCTGCTGCAATAACATCCGAAACGTCGGGCGAATTTAACAATACGGTTTTCAAATAATTTACTAATATTTTGTTTTTACACCGCCTAAAGTAGTCATATGGTAAACAAAGTATTGTCTAGGTCAGTGCGGTTAAGACTCTGATGAGGTACCTGCCTGTAAATACAAACAATCAGTAACGGGATTTAGCGTTTATTCTGTAATTACATTAGTATATGCATGGTTTTTGCTTGATCGATTTGATTGCTCGATTTTGCTTTTTGTTAGGTTACAATCGACGTACGGACAAATACTTGGTCATTTGCAATGCAGATATGTTCGGGACAGATCAAAATGGATTCTAAAGTACTGTCTGTACTTTCCGCGAGTAGTACACAATTTAAATAAAAAACTTACAACAGTTTGAAAAGCGAAATATATTAGTATACATTAGGGTACAATTTATTCTGATTACGGCTCTATGATTTGCAACTTTAATTAGTCAATAAATTAACTAATATATTTCACGTTTTAAATCGTTAAAAGCGTTTTATTTAGAGAGATTCTAAATATGTTTATCATTCAGTACTAATACTATTATATAAAAAATAGAAACTAGTTGAATTCAGGTGGTGGAAGGTCCAGACTGCGGCCCGACAGTTCGGATGCTTTGCAGCAGCCGTAGTCTCGGGGAGCACTTCCCGTGAGGCCGTGAGCCGTAGTTAAAGTAATTTTCAAATTAGTTTAACTAATATGTGTCGCGTTTTCAGTAAAGTCAAAGAGTTTTATTTAAATGTGTACTACAAGCGTAAACTACAGACGTGTCAGCAGTTTCTTAAAAAAACGATATATTTCTACTAATATTTTTCGAAGCAAAGAAAGACATCGGATAAGCTTTACAAGTCAATAATCATTTTCACATTACACAAGCCTAATAAGCTAATGGAGATACCCCATGGATTCTACCATGCTTCATTAAGCAAAGTGTTCCAAGCCACGTATAAAAGCAGTGGAATCCATCCCATCTTCAGTCAGTTCATCCTGAAATACAGTACAACAAAACCTTCCAAAATGGCCGCTAAGATTTCAGCTGTGTTCACCATTCTCATCATCTCAATGGCAGTCCTCATTCAAGCGAACCCAGCTATTGTCACCGGTTATGATCAACTGGAGCTCTGTATTGAGAACTGTGCCCAATGCAAGAAGATGCTGGGCGCCTGGTTCGATGGACCACTTTGCGCTGAATCCTGCATCAAGTTCAAGGGAAAGCTAATTCCTGACTGCGAAGATTTTGCCTCTATTGCGCCATTTATTAACAAACTTTGAAGAGTTTAAACTTGGGCTGTAAGTTTAAAGATATATGTTCATATTATTGCTGATGTTGAGACATATTTAACTTGTAAGACGGCCTTAAGATGGACAGACTTGTCTAATACATTTACTACTTTGTACCAACAATATTAATATTTCGTTTGTCTGTATGTTTCTCTAGTTCCTCACTCCACGCTTAATCATTTTAGAATTTTCAAAAGATAACATGTAGTCGTGTATAATGTTTTAAAACTAGTATTAGTTTGGAAAATTTGAAATAAAATTCTATTATCAAAATATGGTATTATATATTTCTTGAAATATTTGCGGCTGAAGGCTGTAAAATATTGCGAAACTCCAGTGTGAAGATTGGTTACGAGAACACCTACTAAAGCAGATAGCTTCAGTACCATAGATTATCAAAATATAGCCGGTAACTCAGCACAGTATGTAACTGAAACACTTATAGAATTTAATTAAAACACTTTTAACGGTTTAAAGCGTAAAACGTATTAGTTAAACTTATATACCAACTAACTAATTATTATTAACTACGTCCCGACTTAATACCAACTATGACGGAACAGATGGCGCTAGCGTAGTAGTTTTTACTTCTGATATTAGCCTCCCCGTGACCACAGCTGCTGCAAAGCTTTCGAAACGTCAGGCCTAATTGAATTTGTAACGAAGTTTTACTTTTATATTCCGCGTTTTAAACAGTTAAAAGTGTAAACTAGATACATTACTTCACTTATGGAATGTGAATCCCATTTTTGTGTAGAGCATTAGACAGACACAATTATGTGTCTATCAGTGTTATGACGTACACCTAGACTTCTATATTATACTGTGATATAAATTCATACCAAAATAAACTCTTGGCGATGAGTTTAGCCCAGAGGTGGCTGGCCACTGCGGCCGAAAATATATTTATAAGGTTGCTTAAAATATTAATAATGTAATATTGAATATCATTTCTATGTTCAAGTCTTGAACCAGACTTAAATTCAGTCTAACATGAAAGCACTAATTCAAGCGTTGCCTAGCGACTAATCTCTCAAACTCCGATACTTAATCTTGTTGAATACTAAATTTGTATTTATAGGTTCGATAGAGATATTATCTGTTAAAGCCTACCTCTAATAATGGAGCATTTTTAATAACTTAGCTGGAGGTCGTATTGTGTCTAATCCTTGTTAAGTACAAACGTTTAGGTACAGTCGAACACAATAAGTACCGGGGTTACCGTTACCCATGTACCGACGAGGCCGTCAAGCCGAGTTCGTACAAGAATATATCGGGATAAATAAAATGCACGATAAATCGAGTACAGAGTACTTGATTTAAATTTTATACGTAAGAGAATTCCGACCGCAAATTCTATGGCTGTCCACTGGAAATCCTTTAAAAGTAGTCTTGAAGTGCAAATGCAGGGATTGGAAAGGTTCCGTGTCGTGCTCGTTTGTGCGAAACGGGACCCGGGAGCTGTGCGGTGTGAGATATAGCGGACGTACATAAATAATGATATAGCCGCGGTGCATACTAAAGTCATCTTTTTCAAAAGAATTTTCTAAGTTAACGCGAAAGCTCGTGAGGTAGTTTGTTTTATACTACAAGCGATAGGCAGACATTGATGCAATTTGTGTCTTAATTAGTTGACATCGTAAAAAAAACACAAATTACCAAAAAAAACTAAATGATCCCTTTGGATAAATGTACAATATTACTAACGTAAATAACAGTACAATATTACTAATAATAAATTCGAAGTTTGTAAATTTTCTGCTGCAATGCATCTGAAATGTCGGGTCATAGTTAAAAGTCACTCTATATATTTCGTGTTTTAAACCGTTAAAAGTGCTTTTTTTATATCTAATAATCACGTAAACTACAGAGAGTTGAGTATTTCTAGATTAAAACAAATTACAGAAGCGAGCCACGACCACGTTTCTTTAATAATTTCCGCCGACCGCCTGTGTAGCTAAAGGGTTAAACGCATTGAGTTTCGCGTGATATTTCCTGGGTAATTTCACCGATTTCGAATATCGGTGAAACAAGACATTGTTTTGATTGGGCAGGGCACAGACGTCTTTCACTTTGTTTTACAATTGTATAATTTAAGCTCGCATGTAAACAGAATGATAAAGTGAAAACTCTATAAATGCAGCCCCAACTGAAAATACAAAAGAGAAAATTCGGTGGCGCGTTTCGTTATTCAGACAGTCACCTGATTATGCGCTTCGATGACCTAGGGTTGGGCGTACCTACGTTTTCGATAAACCTTTAATTTTTTGCATAGACCTTAGTCTATAATCTGTGGTGCGAAAAATTTGAAGGGCTCTTCTAATTTTATTTTATACGATGCGAAGGCTTTTTTATTAGCTCTAACTCCTGAATATGGTATAGACCAAAAATAAAGCGATATTTTAAATACTAAATATAAACTTTATTAAACTTTGTTGTTTACCGAGAAAACTTTAAAGAGCCTACATTTTAAACGAGGCTTTTTTATTAGCCCATACGCATATTCCTAACATATTTAGGTCTAGGTCTAAAAAAATACACAGTATTTTATTTAATCTGCCGAAATCTTGTTAACTCTGTTATCACCAAAGTATTCATAGAGATATATACAAGAGCTGTATGTAATTTACACATTAGTACACATTTGTCGGTTTAAAACGCGAAATATATTCGTTATTTTATTTGCATTATTTTTTAATTTCTAACTAATACACGTCGCGTTTTTAACCGTTAAAAGTGTTTTATTTAGGCTTAACCATCAGATGTATCATATAACAATGCTTACAAATTTCCTCAGTTCTTTAATTACGGCAGATCCAGTTATCGATAAAAAGAGGACATCATTAGCCCACTTAAGCTCTAAGTTGAGTCCACTTCGCTTACTTATCTCCAAGACTGTTCTATTCAAACCCTGAATTACTGTAGTCGTTGAAAAATGCATTCTTAGTCCCATTTTTAGATGAACATATTTCTCATATTATAGTGATGTTTTGGTAGAGGAGGATAGACAAGCAGTTGGTGAAATACTCAAGCCATAACCGCTAAACAAGATGCACTCTCGACCTATTTTTGGCTTTGGATATTTGAGATTTCACAGACTCTAACCGAAGTGCGATAAACTCTACTGAGTCTCGTTGTTACATTGAAATTTATATTACGTACCTACCTAGTTTCGAAGTAGCGATACCATATTTGTTATGCTCTTATGCTGTCTGGTATGCTCGCGACTTCGTCCGCGTAGATTAGTTATTTTATACGACGTCGGTCGCGTCCCTTCCCATTGTTCTTGCAAGATAATCTTAAAAATAGACATATAGCGGACTTTTTTTTAGATCATTTAAAAAGGAATCATTCTCTCATACATATTACTAGAACTTCGACAGGCTTGGGTATCTTGAACCGTTCTTGCAGCGTACGCCTCGGAAACCCACAAAGATGACACTTTTTCCCGTTTTTTTTTTTCACATTTCCTTTTTCTCAACTAACTAATAAAAACCAAGTAGCTTTTGGGAGCGCGATCAAACAAACAAACTCTTCAGCTTTATATATTAGTATAGATATAGACATTGAAATTAAGATGTAGGTTTATTTTTCGTCTGACATTCAATAAGATATCCAATACTTAATGTAAAATGGTGACATGAAACAGGTATATAAATGTTTGGGAAAGAGATATCCGCTGATGGAATTTCAATGTAGTGTGAAAGCTTCTAGGCAAACGCTTTTAAAGGGTTTGTTACGGTTGAAACGAACTGTATGATATAGCTTATCGTTATTGTAGCTTCGCGTATGCTGTAAGATCTGGACAAAGAAGTAGAGATAGCTAATGTCATCATAACATCATAAAACAGGCTTTATTCATTTTTCTATTGGAAGTATTTTATAATCTAATTGCTTACAATATGCATTTTAATAGTTCCTAAACATACCTTAGTTAGAGTGATAATTTTTTGTTTCAATCCACGCTGGTCTACTTTCGTGCCGCTTATCAGTGTGTAATCCTGGTATCAAACCCTCGACACCTTAGATAAATAGCGAGAGTACCATATGAAGATCCAATTTCATCAAACAGAAGACAGACAAGATGGTGAGATGAAGACAGACAAGATGGTGGGCGAAGTGTCAGTCGAAATACCCCAGTCACATAACATTTTGACAAGATGCGATATCGATCTTTTTGCCTTTGTAGATTCGGAATTCCACAGACTACGCCCGAAACGTGATAACGGATTTTTCATATGTGGTCGGTGGTTAATGACTCGGACGTATTTATCCCAATTTTATATCCCGATATCCACACGAAATCCAACATGTTTAAGACAAATTATAATTTCTTTGGAAACATATTGGATCGATTCAAAATCGAACTCGTTGCTACCATTAAATCAATGACCCCGTCAAAGTACTATATGAATAGCTAATAAATATGATTCAATACTGCCCGTAGTTAACACGAGTAGTACACAGAGAAGGCATTCGAAACGTAGGGACGTTGTTTAAATAAGTTACACTAATATATATCGCGTTTTAAACCGTTAAAGTGTTTTATTTAAATAGTAATATAATAAAAGTTAATTTCGAATCCAATGTAATTTTTCACTAAAAATGGTTCTCATTAATACGAAGTAAATTAATTATATTATTTTTTTTATTCTAGGACGTTTGATCTAGTAAAGGATTTTTGTATTTTTTATAAGATAACAAGATCGTCCTCTTGTTGAATTGTGTACAAGTCGTGGCCGTAATAGTGATTCAGGTAATAGAATAAGCCGCACCTAAGTCCGCAATAAATATGCGGCAGGAATATTCCTCGGGATTAGCGCGCGAGAGTTTGGATTACGCGGATGCCCTTACACTGTAATGTAACAAGGTACTATTGTTTGTAAACTTTACTACTTTTCACATGATGGTATTATATAAATTAATAATCTATTTACAGTGAAAAAAATAACGATCGGACGATGGACGGCGGGACTTGAACTGGCTACCGC